AAAACTTGTTGTAACCAGCTGATATACTTTTTTATAACATATACTTGTTGTGGTTTTTTTTTTCCCTCTCTGTCTTGTTTTTTGTTCTTCTTCGTTTTGATTTCCCCCCCCCCCACTGTTGGGGGCATGTGTTGTTTATGTAACAAAAAAATAAAAAAAAAATTATTTAAAAAAAATGGAGTATTTACTTCCAAATTGTGAAAAGAGAAGTTACCAGACTTTCAGCTTTAAAGAACATTTTGTCACATGTTCTTATGGCTTAGGAACACCAGACTTGGATTTTTATACAGCAGAAAGGAGATGGGCTGTAATCAGTTTAGGTGTTGGAAAGTATACCAAAAGAGCACCCAAGAATACAACTAACACTTCCTTATATTTGGATATTGTGGAATGTCCAAGAAATACACGGGAGAAACCATTAGAGACAAGTATGCCCTCTTCCAGAAAGTTCCACAGAATATTATTTGATCTATGTGTAGATACTACAGATTCCGATCTATCTGTAGCCAATGATTAATTGAGCACACAAATGTGTTAGTTTCACACTCAGTGAAACACTGAATTCAAAGGTGGTGAATATGTAAAGGAAATGAAGAAAATATCAATGGAATCTGTCATAGGTAAAATAGAGAAATGTGGGTTTCAAAAAGCCATTGTGCTATATTTGAATTATATTATTGAAATTAAATAACCATGGCTTTATACATTATACATACCTTGGTCAATGTTTCTGGGGCTGAGAACTGAAGGACTTGATCCCATCTCTAACATTTGCCAAATTTCCTCCAAGGAACTAGGAGCACTAGATGATAACCAACTTTGCTGGGGTATGCTTGGACTTTCTCTTCCGAGCTGTTGAGGCTGCTGTAGCACAGGGGCTTTGGATACTGAGGGAGCTGCAGTGCAGTTTCTTGAACATGAGTCTGATCCAATCTGTGGAAATGACCAATGCCAGAGATCAATGTCATGTGGAAATAGAGGAGAAACATTAAAAAAATTAAAAAATGGAATAAAATTTTAAGTAAAAATTTAAGAAAATGGAACAGAACACATTTTATAGAAATCAATGCTGTGGTTTCCAAATTATGTGGTCTTTTCATTGAAGAAGCTTCTTGCCCAGACAACTTCTGCATTATTCTCAAAGCTCTCAGCAATAATTTGGCAATGCAATTTGAGTGAATCACTTTCGTATGAGCCTTAGTTTCAATTTCTCCATATTCTGCTATAGCACTATACCAAAAACACACACAGAGGTTAGGGCAAAATGAATGCTCTTGCAATGTAATAAACAAATATGGCAGCTATATATTTTTTTTCTTCAAACAAAATTAAAGTTTGGAAATAACACATGTCATGAAAATTTTGAAACAGCAAAAGGGAAAAAATATGATAAACGACCTAATCCATGGACAATCAAATGAATCTGGAAGTCTGGAGTGAGCTAGTGAATTAGAATGGAAGTAAGGATGGAAGTGATTTCAATGCTATAGTTGACCAGAAATGGGACTATAAAAGTGGAAAGAAGAGAAAAGGAGTTAGGAGAATTTTGCCGAGGTCGTTCTTCCAAATGGCCAAAGAATTAAGTATCCATGATGTATGGCGAGAAAGATGTCCAGAGGGAGAGCAATATACCTTCTACTCAAATACACATGAATCCTGGTCAAGAATAGATACGGTCTGGATGTTGATGAAGTTAATTTTGGATGTGAAGGAGACAGACATAGAACCCAATCTATGGTCTGACCACAATCCCATGAGGATTACATGGAAAAAACAAAAAGGCAGTTATTATTGGTCATTCAATAGAACAATTCTAAAAGATCAGGAACGTATTAAAAGAGTCAATCAGGAACTGAGATTTTTCTTCAAAGAAAACTAGCCAGGAGACACATCCATACCAAACCTATGGGATACAACTGAGGCATTTATAAGAGGGGTCACGATATCAGCTAAAGCTAGGAAGAAAAAAAATTGAGAATCAAAAAACAAGAGAGTTGAAAGAAATATACAGAATTTAGAGAGTGAACTTCAAAAGAAACCGCAAAAAAGAAGTATAAAAGAAAGTATGAAATTGATTAAACAGGAATTGGCTATATTTGAAAAAGCAAAACTATAACAGTCTATAAAAAAAGCAAAACAAAATTTCTTTGAGAATGCAAATAAACTGGGGCGGTGGCTAGCCTATAGGTTGAAGGAGCAGAAGCAAGAGAATTGGATCAATAAATTACAAGATGAAAAAGGCGAGATCGGCTATCAACTAGAGGAAAAGGATTACTCAAAAGTTCTATGAACAATTATATAGAGAAAACCGAGACTATACAAAGGAAGGAATACTACAATATCTGGAAAAGTCAGATCTGCCAAAGATACCAGAGGAAGTAAAAGATATGCTCAATGGGGAAATAAAAACATAAGAGATAATTGAGGCCATACAAAGACAAAAGAATAATAAAGCAGCGGGGCCAGATGGACTGCCAGTGGAAATATATAAAGAATTCCAGGATATGCTTGTTCCAACACTGATGAAGGTTTATAATGCTGTGTT